TTTTGTTTTTAAATAATTATATCTGCTCTACTTTGTATTGAGCACTCTTTTAAGAATAGTAATTGTTGGTTATTGGAATTCATTCCGTATACACCAATTATATACTTGTATATATATATATATATATATATATATATATATATATATATATATATATATATATATATATATATAAATGACGTTTCATCAAGACGGATTATATATAAGGATGTTCCATTGAGACAGATCAAAGTAGTATACACGAAAGGGCACAGAAATTTCACTCACTTTCTTCTCTTTTTACCCACAGGATGCATTAACGAAAAGATATGTTTCGTTTCCCTCTGGGATATCTTTTGGTCCCCAGCGAATCTCATGTTGTATTGAACACAACACAGAATATTACACAGCATACAATGCTCTAAGCTTACTTGGTGACTCACAGGCATATCTAATAATTCTACCAACCCAACAAATAAATAACTGTTCACGAATGTAAAACTCTCACATAGAAACTTCATACATATGTACGTATAATTTTACACTCTATAACCCCTCTCTCACAAGCAAAATATCTTGATACTATTCAAAAGTGTCTTCATGTCCTTGTCGGGAATGAATTATTTTCCACTTAACAACCTTTTCCCACAGACGAAACATTGCAAGTTTCTCACTGCTTTATCGCTTTTTCTAGTGAAAGTGTTCAGACGAGCTACATTCCTTAGTTTCCCCAGTTGTAAACTTCATGCCATGCCACGCCGCACATTGTAACGAATGACCGTCGTATTTCATTGGTGAGATGTAAGTTCCAGTCGAACAGTTTCTTCCCACGAACCGCACTTTGTGAAACCCACCCTAAAGTTGATGCTTCCCCGATCACTACTATTTTAATCTTCTCAAGCTTAGGATTAACCATTATCTTCGCCTCATAACCCCATAAAATGTACTTCTTACTCAGTAATACTCTACTCTCTAATCGAGTGGCTATTTGGCATTATACAGATATTTACAGTAGGATAATATAATTAAAACAAATGTTCATATTTTGAAAGGATCAGATAAAAAATATAGAATCAGCGGTAAAAGTGTCAAAAGAACGGTTATTCCTTGAACACCACTACTACACTGTTTTTTATTTACTCACATTATTATAAACATGTGAAGTAGAATGCGATATTTATTATTTATGTAGTATCGTATGCAAATGAAATAGACAAGCATAAATAGAGAACAACTGGTGAACATAAGTGCATTGCTTAGTGTACCCGTTTGCGAAAGGTAACGCGGAGAATTGTGCTATGAATGCTACTACACAGAGAGATATACCAAACATAACAATTTACCTTTTCTCTGTGTGTATATATTGTTCATTCAGGACATGGTTGTTCATGGCTGTACAAAGTTTCCTATCTAATGACGTTCCATCACCACTGAGAGAACCTTAATTTTTCGTCTATCTGTTCTCTCAGGGAGGCCCCGTGACTTGAGTGCCTATTAGGACAAGCAGAAGCTTAACCCATGCCTCAGATGGAACTTGTACATACTTTCTATCCTCTACATTTAAAAGATCCAGAACAAGCCGAAAATTGATTATTGCTGTCATATATGGGTAGGAGCTGCACAGTCTTCTGTTTCTAGTCTCGATAGAATCTGAAAGCATCCCAGTATCCTTATGGGTGATGAATTATTTTCCACCCTAAAACGCCTTTCTCATAAACGAAATGTTACAAGACTCACGCTCTTTTATCGCTATTTCCATGGAAAATGTTCAAATGAACTATATTCCGTCATTTCACCAGTTCTAAACTTCACGACTAAGACCCATCATGCCACTCACATTGTAGCGAACCACTATCATTCCTTTCGTATTCCAGTGGTGAGATGTAAGTTCCATTCGAGCAGTTTATTCCTATGAACCGCCGCTTTGTGGAACCGACTCCCAAGATGATGCTTCATCGATCACTATAATCTTAATCTGTTCAAGTTTAGGCCTAACCATTATCTTCGCCGCATATCCCTATAAAATGTACTTCTTACTAAGCAAGTACGAGTGGCTATTTGGCATTTTACAGATATTTAAAATCAAAACACAAAATATTTACAGTAGGATAATATGTCTAAAACAAATGTTCATTTTTTGAAAGAATCAGATAAAAAATTATATAAAATCTGTGGTAGGTGTGTCAACAGGATGGTTATTCCTTGAACACCACTGTTACACCGATTTTATATTTACCCACTCAGCAAAGTTTTTTTATACAAGATTATAAACATATGTGAAGTAGAAGGTGAGATTTATTATCTACCTTTTATAAAGACTTATTATTTACCATTTTATAATGAAATATAAATTTGAAAAGATATTTTTTTATTCAAATTACAAAATTAACAATATACATAAACCAACGACAATGCAATACCTGAAGTAAAAATTACAAATATTCTGTAATTAAACACAAAGACAACTTTGTGCATCCACTGAATAGGGAGATACATACTCAAAATATTAAGTGTTTGTGGTCTCGCATAAAATCTAAAATTTAAAGAATATTTGGTTTTATTATACAGAATGTGGCAGAAATGCTTCCCAGAAACACTTCCGTCATAATAGTAAGAAGACATTAGCTAGTTGAAGACAATATTGCCACTAATTGCCACCATTATGTGGGAGGTATTTTTGCTCCGCCCTGTAGTTAGTTTACATATTTGTATAATCTTATAAACATAAAATTATTCTTGTAAATAAGCAATCTAATAAATAAATAATGTTTACAGATCGCGACATCTATCAAATTTAAATTTTTATTATTACATTATTCCAAAATTTTAACACATCAGCAGGTAGCTATTATGTCAACAACTGAGCACAAATAGTTATTTATTTAAAAAATTAGTAATTAATGTATATTATCCATAACCACATGTACCAGAATATAGATTCTGATAAAAGTTAAAAATAAAAAATAACCATAAATATGTAAAAAATGCATATGTTGTCGAAAATTCCTTTTTCCACAATATAACTATTTGTGCTATAATGCTTACTACCTTAACAAAAATAGTGAATTTTTTTTTTAAACATTAAAGTATATTTAATCAGATCTCTCTAATAGCTGTCGCGATCTGTTAATATATTTGTTGTCAATTCTCAAGAATAAAGAAAATGTATAAATCCACTTTCATATGTTTTGGTTTTATTATCGCTTTTTAAAGCAAAATATTCCGAGAGAATAAAAAAATCTTGCGTTGTTAAGCAAATAACCATCTTCTAGACACGGCGTTTTTTTGTTTTGTTTTGTTTTTTTTTTTTTTTTTTTTTTTTCCGTTTGCGGGGGCGGTTTGGGCGGGGAGCGGGTATCTAGCACGAATGTTAAATATTACCGAATCAGGAATCTTTCAAGCTTAACACATTACTTAATCCCCATAACCCGCCGATATGTTATTTCGTGACGCCTGACCTGTATAGATATGGCAATTATTAATATCATTTTTTTTTTTAATTACATATATTTACTTTCCTCAATTTAATAATTTATAAACTTCTTCTATGTGTCGTATCCCATCAACACGTTGGCGATTTTTTTCTACATAATTTTCTGTCCTTTGTTTGCACTTAATAAATTTTGTCTTTTTTTTTTCTAAACCTTGTTCCGCCTTTCTTTTACTCAAGCTCGCTAGATAGGTTATGCGTTTTTTCCTCTGTGATTCTTACCTTCAATCTATCCTGTGGGTATCAAATTTTCCAAGCCGTCATTATGTGCTCTACAAATTTTTATTTCCATTTATTCTAAAAGTTTGTCGTTGCACTTATGTTCGGTCAATGTTATTCTCAGCATCCTTCTGTAGAACCTCACTTCTATTGCTTCAAGTCTCTACTTCATCTGGGAAAAGATTGTCCGGCATTCATGCTATACAAGAGGACTAATATTACATAACAGTTCAGTTTTGTTTCTAACGAAATTTTCTATTTCTTAATACTTTACTTAACGTTTGGAAGACATTTTTTGCCAATCCAATGCGACTTCGAATTTCAGTGTCGCACTTTCCGACCTTTGTTAAATTACTTTCTAAATATTTAAACTGCTATACTTATTTGATTTTATTATCTTCACTTTATAATTTGCATTTTGGACACTTCTCCTTGCCGACATTCTGTCTTCTTGCATTTGATGTTTAGTCCTTTGTTTTTGATTTTCTTTATCACCTTCTGTAGGAGTTTTTGTAATTTCCTTTCTGTATCTGCTTTCAACACTGTCTGATTTGCATACCGTATGTTGTTAAGATTGTAGCCGCCAATAATGAATCCTGGTAGGGCTTCGAAATTCTCTCAGAATCGTCTCACTGTATAGGTTGAATAAGTCCGGTGAGAAGACACATCCTTGTCTTAAACCTCTTTCTATTTTCATATATTTACTGAATTCAATTTCTGTCCGTATCCAGGCGTTTTACTGACAGTATAGGTTCTGGATTATTCTAATATCTTTCCTAAATATGTCAAGGTTACCGAACTTTTGCAACAATTCTTTGTGACGTATCGATTTTTCATAATCTATAAAACACAGGTACACATCCTTCTGCATTTGTATTGCTCTTTCTGATATCATTCTGAACATAAATATTGTATTTCTTGTTCCAGTGTCTTTAACGGACCAGCACTGTTCTTGACTTTGTATTTTTAATTTTGTTTTATATAGACAAAAATATATCCCAAAAGATAAACAATCCCCAAGTAGGCAAGTCTAATGCTGACAACTTCGTAAATAGAATATTTCTTTAATCACTTCTTTATAAGGTTTTGAAGTTTAACTTCAACTTCTTTAATATAATCTCTGTTAACTCAGTAAAAATGTTGAATTTAATGTTCTACTCTTTATATTCCATTTCTATTATAAAAGTAACGTGTCTGTTTTGTTCTTGATTTTCTTTCTTAGCGTTTTTTTTTTCTTTTCTTTATTTGGCGGGGGGGGGGTTACGATTTCTGGGGAAATTTAACAATTTACCTAAAGAAATGAAACATGTGATCAGAAGAAATAAAAAATATACTGTAATTTTTTTTCAGTTTCCTCTTTAACGCATAGAAAGAAAGAAAGAAAGAAAGAAAAGAAAGAAAGAAAGAAAGAAAAAGAAAGAAAAAGGTAGGGAAATGCAAAAGAGAGAGAACAAGATGAAGGAAAAAGAGATCGGTAGGAAAAAGAGGGAGAGAAAGTACAAAGAAAGAAAGAAAGAAAGAAAGAAAGAAAGAAAGAAAGAAAGAAAAGAAAGAAAGGCAAAAAGGAAGGAAAGAGAAAAAGGAAGAAAAAGTGACAAAGGACAAAGTAAGAAAGTAAGATTGTCCGTGTATCTTTACCTAAAAGAGAGATCGGCACATTGTAATGTTGAAGACGAATTACCGACGGGCAGAGTGTCCAGGTGGTGCGTATGATAGGTTCGGCTTCCCAACGACTAAATGCCACACTTTAACACCTGAGACAGAATGTTGGAGATGAAACGAAGTCGTTAACGTTTGCGTTTCAACTTTTGACACCAACTCATCGTCTCTATCCTTACAGCTTTCTTTAATAACAAGTAAAGAAGGCCTAATACTCCAAGAAATTGTGGGCAAAGAAGATGGAAAAATATGGCCAATTATTTTTTAAATAAAGAATTTTTTCATAAAGCACTCACTCATCTCGACTTCAATCCCTAAAATCAGATATTGTTTATCTATGAAAATTGTTAAATCTCCCGGTTCTGTCTCTAACTTTCACAGCGTCAATGTTTCCGTTAATTAATAAAACAATGGAATACTTATTTATTTTAAGCTACATTGATAAAATTGACTTTACTAAAATGCATAGTTTTGTCATTACTGCTGGTAATTATTAGTAGAATTTTTAATAATAATAATAAGTTATTGGCAAAGTAGTTCCTGTAGACTGTACTGTATCTTTGAAGGTTACAAGGATCTTGAAGTGGAAATCTCAAAAATGTGACATATGAGGACATCAATAATATCATTTGTAGTCGGAGCTCTCGGTTTGATTGGAAAAGTTAGACTCAGGAAAGGAATTCCTGGTAGACCATGCTTTAAAGAATTACAAAAGATTGTACTGACAAGTACAGCTCACACATTACGAAGATCTTTGTCTATGTAAAATGTGTGTAATCTTAGGGTTTTGGGTGTTTTTTTTGTTTTTTTGTTTTTTTTTTTTTGTCATGAAGCCATTTTTGACCTTAGGTTTCTGGTTGGGACCCGGAAGGAATTGTGTATACAACAGAAATCAAAGGAAATTTTACTCGGTAAGAATACAAGAATAGGTTTTTAATTCCACTGGTAAACTGTGCAAGCAAGAAGATTTCAGCAACAAAGAACAATGGATAGATTTACAAGCCAGAAAGTGTTCTAGAGGTGAAAACGCTTAAAATTCTCTGGTAATTTGTGATTCGATCGGATCGCCCAATTTAGCCCAGATGGCCGGATCTAGTAGTATTAAACGCGGGAAAATATGCCAGAGTGTCAACTTCAATTTCAGCAGAGAATAGAATAGATCTGAAAAAAAACTGAACAACTAAAATAGATAGGTAGAAAGATTATATTGAATCCATTGCTAGGTTTGATGTAAAGAACATTGGTTCACTATGACGTGCTAGACAATTTTTCTTTACAGAATCTATCATACATATTTATAAGTCTACCATTCGTCCATTATTTGAATATTGATGCCGCATATGATCTACTGCTCCTTCTATATATTTATTGATTCTTGATAAAATCCAAAAAGAATCAGCAATATTTTAGGTCTTGACCTGGCGTCTCAGCTTCAGTCACTCTCCCACCGCTTTAATATAGCTTCCCTGTGCCTTTTCTATAGATACTTTCATGGTAATTGTTCAGATGCACTTCCGACTATGGTATCTAAACTTTATGAATTTAAGCGCATTACTAGATTGGCAACAAGGTCTCATCAATTTACAGTTGAATTGGCTAGATGTAAACTGCAAGTTCTGTGCTAACAGTTTCGTTTCTCGCAGTTCTCGCTTGTGGAACTCACTTCCGGCTCTATGCTTTCCAGTTTTGTTCTTTAAAAATTTATACGCAATGTCAATCGTTATCTATTGTCTTATTGATGACTCTTCTGTTGCCTCCGCCCCTTCATAATGCTTCTCTTTTTTTTCTTATTCTTTTACACACAGTAATCAGTTGTGTCTTAGTGGGGTACAATGATTTAAAAATGTGTCTCGACATCGCTCGAGAGTTGATAAACTTGTGGAAGATTAAGATGATAATTCTGTCCGTTTTTATAAGAGTACTGCGAAAATTTCCGAAGAGCTTGAAAAATCTTTGACGGCTTGAAAATAGAGGAATAGCTTGAACTATCCAGACGACGGCATCGTTGAAAAAAGACCGAGAAGAGTACTGGAGCATTAAGGAGACTTTCTGTGACTTAATCTCTGGCATAGGGTACCTGTTAATACTGGTGTGAACAGTCATCTAGTAAATAAGAGCCGAGATCAAAATAAAAATAGGTTCCAGACAAGTTTCCTGTCCCCAATATTATTTGTCATAGTGATTAGAAAAGCTCAACTACAGACTACGAAAATAGGTCTTGAACTGCAAGAAGACAGAATGCATGGTTGTCAGCAAAAGAGGTAGTCTATTATGTGAGTTACATAATGGGGGCGTGAAAATTAAAAAAGGTACAAAAAATAAAGTGTAACAATAGGCAATTGAAAGTGTGACACAGAAATTCCGAATGTGCACAGAAATAGCAAAAATGTCTTCTTGAAACTACGTGAAGTATTAAGACATAGGAAAATATCGTTGAAAAAAAAAGGGTAATGCGTTGCTATAGTCTCCTAAACTGTATAAAAGAGAGGAAGTTGTGGGGAGTCATGATTGCCAACGTCCTGAAAGAAGAAAAAGAATAATAAGAGACGATATCTTCTTTTATGCCGTGTCCCTTCAGGACGTGTGCGTTCATGACTCTTCACAACTTCCTATTCATTATAGCTCTTAGTAACGTTTGTCTTTTTGCCATCCATCCCAATCCGATTCCGCCATCCATTCATACAAGTTCATTAGGTAGGTGACCTGCTGCCTTCCTCTGTCCGTTTTGCATTCACTATGTCCTATGAGTGTCAAATTCTCCAAGGCCTCTTTCCTCATAAGTTATCTAAGAAGTTTGAACTGTTTTTTTTCATTCTATATTTTTATCCTTTTTATTTCCATTATACTTAAGACCTCTTTGTTGTTTACGTGCTCGGTCATTACTATCCTCAGCATCATTCTGTAGAACCAAATTTCGGTTAGCTTCAATCTCCTTTTCATTTGTGAGGAAAATTCTCTAGGAGGATTGATATTACATAGCGGTACATTCCTCTTTTCTTCGTGTCTAGTATAATTTTTCTTTTTCTTAATACTTTGCTTAGCTTTTGGATGACATCTTTCGCTATTCCAATGCGCGTTCGGATTTTGGTGTCACATTTTCCATTCTGTATTAAAACGCTTCCCAGATATTTAAACTTCTGTACCTGTTTGATGTTGACATGTCCAGTTCCTAATTTGTATATTGGGATTTTTCTTTTGACTGACAACCATAAAGATGAACTACCTCTTGTATACAGATAACCTCAAAATCTATTTGGAAAACCCAATAAAAATTGTCATGGGGCTGGAAATTGAGAAATGTCCAATGCTGATAATGAGAAGAAAAAAAGAAACAACCGAAGGATCGAAGCTACGGGAAATCATCCCAACACTCAACTAGCAAGAAATATTGTTATTCTGAATTTTGATTGATTGGTGGATTTGTCTGTTTGTTTAATGGCCTTATGGGTTATTTAATGCCGAAATTTAATTTTCTTGGAAGCCTGAAGTAATAAAAATATGATATGTAGTAGATGATGTTCAGCTTTTGTGTATATACATGTTTGTGTGGACATAATTACTAGAGGCGGTGATATGTGTTTTTGGGTTTGGTTTAGTTTGGTTTGTTTTGTTTTACGGCATATCAACCTCAATGGGTTATTTAATGCCGACCAGATATTTTATTATTGGTAATATTTTTCCAAAAATGTATTGCTGGTATTAAAACCCATTTTTACACTTACATAGTGTTTTGACCCCAGTTTGGAGGTTTAATATTTGCCCATAGCTGAGACCCTAATAGGTGCAACCCCCACGGGTCAGGGTGTACCTGGAAAGACTAGCATACAGATGACCTCAAAATAAGAGGTGGTTCCACGCTCCTCAAAACCTCGTGATCAGAGTCCTTGCTGCCGGATATAAGTTATCGTCATATCCAGGACGCAGATGTAGTTTATCGTCATACCCAGGACGCTATGTGTATTTTTTTAATGTTGTAGTTTTGTTGAAGTTATATTTTGGAATACAGTTTGTAAGATATTATATGGATTACTGTCATGAAAGAATTCTTTCATGTTGGTAGTATTTTAAACGGATTTGAGTGAAGTCACTACAATTCTTAGTATGTGCGTATTGTCGTTAATTTTTTATATAAAAATGTATTGCTAGTATTTTTATTATAGAAATGTATTTTTGCACTATTTGCACATAGCAGTGACCCTAAAAGGTCCTACTACCTCGGATCAGATTGGACCTGGGAACAACAGCAACTACAACGTGGTTCCACGCTCCTCAAAATCATCCAATCTTACGATCAGATGCCTTGCTGTCGGATGAAGTTCATCGTCATACACAGGATTGTTATTTCTGGAAGAGGATACGATCAATTAGAACGAAATGAAGAGAAATGCTGACAATGAATATTTTAGGATAAGAAAAAAATTACAAAAAAATAAATTTAATCTTGAGTAGTTCCAATAATTAGATGCTCAGGACTTTCCTTAAACTGCAATATACTCTCGTGTATAAGTCTACTTTATGTATAGTGCAACCCCTGATTTCTTTTTTTTTTTTTTTAAATGGCCGATTTTTTCATATAGCTTTTTCTATAATGTGATCTTAATTACTGAACAATACTAGTAGGCCTACCATATTGCAGTCCCGGGCATCATCCGGGACATATTTTATAACAAATATATGATCTTCATTCTTTTTTATACAAAGGGGCCGCAAAATTGTGAAAAAGAACACTTACCGTAAAATATCTGCTCCGAAGATTTAGACACCGTATTTTTGTTTTCGTGTATACTTAATAAATGTTCAGTAAAATAACTATTTTCTTCCTGCAGTATCTACCGTAATATTTTGTGTATAATTTTTTGTGTATAATTTTGTGTATATGAATTGTGGGATATGCTTTTATAAAGCTTCTCAATTTTGTTGATTCCTATTGATAAATTTAGTGTATACCGTAAATAAAGCTACTAGAATTAAAATTCATTTGATATTTCACCCTGTTCAGGCATTTACTGTATATTGTGGTGCATTTTGTCAATATATTTTATGAATATGCAACGGAGAAATATAAGATAAAATAATAGCAATAAATGTAAAGAATATAATAAATGAAAATAAAATAAATAAAAATGAAATAAATAAAAATAAATATAGATAAGAAAACGCATGGTTTTTAAACTTTCAAAGAAATAATTTATATATGAGGTTGATGCCATACTTTTGCATAAAAAATGATCATGAAAACTATGAAGTATCGCACTATACGCGAGTACCGTATGTACTCACGTATCATGCGACTTTTGAAGACCTAATTTTAAAGCTAATTTTAAGAGGGTATACACGTGATATAAAATTAGCGTATGCACTGCTACGCCGTTGGCCAAAAAGTATAGCTGTATTTAAAATAAACATGATTTTCATAAAACTGATGTTTTACTTAGTCAGTTATGTGCCATGCGTGATACACGCTTAGGTTATCATGTATCTTTCGATACATGACTGACGAAACAGATTTTTCCCGCAGTAAGTTGCCATTTCTTTCTGCGGCAGACGAGTGGTATTGCAAGGCTATAGAACCTGGTCTGTCCTACAATTTACCCATAGCTTGGGGGGCGGAAAAAAAGAGGATTCATACCTTTCTCGAGGGTATTAGCATAACACGTAAGTGAATGTAATGGATTCGACTGGAATTCGAACACGGACCGCCGATTCCTCAATGCGAGCCGCTATCCATTACTCTACCGTGCCTTCCTTGTTTTACTTAATTGCATCCAATAATAATGCATATAATATTCACATATTAGAATCGTATTATAAAATACAAACATAGCGAATATGCATCTTTTCCATTGTTTACGTTTATAAGATGTTTAACTGATCGAAACTTGATCATAATTAAACAGCTGTTTCTCGTTCGGTTGTTTATGGCTGTACGCGTTTACGCATCGAGTATAGCGTTACTTACGACACTTTCGTCATTCTCTTACATTTTTAACTTATTTAACTAGAAGATGGGATAAAGAAATAGAAGAAAAGAGGTTAGTCTATTTGGTCTCTCGGAAAAGGAACATGCATGATACACGATATACATGATAAAATTATTTTTTATGAGTGAAAATTTTGGGGTCGCACGATACGCGAGATCGCGCGTTAGACGAGTATTCAAATTTTACCCATTAAATGCTAAAAAAAAAAGTTTTTAATTTTTACTTGACTTTTTTCACTATTTGAAGCTCTCCTCAAATAAGTGGTAGAGAGTCTAACAACGCCAAAGCTAATTTTTTTTTTCTTTATTTTCATTGATCTTAAGATTTTGGTTAACAGTGTACGTGTGATGGATAAATTGTCGTCAAAATTACGCAAAAAATGTGTTTTAAAATAAACATGATTTTGATAAAATTGATGTTTTACTTAACTGTATTCAGTCATAATGCATGTAATATTCACATATTAGTATCGTATTATAAAATACAAACATTTCCATTGTTTACATTTATAAGATGTTTAATTGTTTCTCGTTCGGTTGTTTATGGCTGTACACGTTTACGCAATGAGTATAGCGTTACTAACAATACTTTTATCATTCACTTTTCTGATTTAACTTATTTAACAAGAACTTGAAATAAAAAGATAGGAAAAGAGGAAAAGAGTGTGCGTTACACTAGTAAATTTTAGAGAAAATAGGAACAAAAAGGAAACTTATACTTAACATCAGAAAGAGTTGAAATTTCTAGGGCACATAATGAGGAAAGATGGCTTGGAAAGTCTGATACTCACAGGACAGATTGAAGGCAATTGGAACAAAGGAAAACAACGTATAACATATTTAGTGAGCCTGAGTAATTGGATGGCGGAACAATCTTTAGGAGAAATAACAAAAAAACAAAATTTAAGAGCTACAAAGGATAGGAAGTTGTGGAGAGCTATGATTTCCTATGTCCTGAAGGGACACGGCACATAAAGAAGATACTAGCAGTAAACCACCTGTAGACAGATAAAAAATGAATTCAGTAAATACACAAAAATAGAAAAGGGTGTAAGACAAGGATCTGTTTTCTCGCCAACAGAAGATAATGGTAACTGTCTTTTGGTATACCATTACCGTTATTCATTACAGTTGTCTAGAATCTAACCAGCGGATCATTGTCAAAGTTTACTGTTAGCAACATGATGAAATGCATATTCAGTTCAGCAAGGCTCGGTATCGTTGACATATTCGGGAAGGGTATTAGAATAATCCAGAAACTCTACTGACAGCAAACCGCCTGCATGGGGAGAGGAAATCAATCAATAAATATATAAAAATAAAAAGGGGTTTAAGACAAGGATGTGTCTTCTCACCGGACTTATTCAACCAATACAGTGAAGCGATTCTGAGAGAATGAGAATTCCTGCCAGGATTCATTATTGGCGGCCACATTCTTAACAACATAAGATATGCAAACGACACTGTGATGATAGCAAACACAGAAAGGAAATTAAAAGAAGTCCCATAAATGGTAATAAAGGAAATCGAAAAGAAAGGACCAAACATGCAAGAAGACTGAACGCATGGTTGTTAGCAAAAGGTACAGACCAACACACAAATTACAAATTGGATATAAGAAAACTAAACAAGTACAACAGTTTAAATATCTGGAAAGTGTTTTAAAAGACAGAAAGGACGATACTGAAATCCGAAGGTGTATTGGAACAGCGAAAAGTGCCTTCCAGAAACTAAGCAAAGTATTAAGAAAGAGAAAAAATTGTTATAAACAAAGAAATGATGGCAAGAGTGACAGAGGAAAACAACGCATAACCTATCTAGTGAGCTAGAGTAAATGGATGGCATAACTGGGTTTAGGAGAGATAACAAAAAGACAAAATTTATTAAGAGCTAAGGATAGGAAATTGTGGAGAGCCATGATCGCCGACGCCCTGAAGAGGCGCGGTACACAGAAGAATAAGATGACAATTCTGAAATCTTTGCACGCAAGTTATATCATTAACATACTATACATAAAAGAGAAAGCTGTCACTTCATTATTAAAAATTGCTTTGAAGCATTGATTAAAGGACTTGATCACTACACTAAGCAAAGTCTTATTCTCTAAGTGCATATATTTTTCATTAGGGACATGGTTGTTCATGATTCTCCAAATCTTCCCATATAGTGACGTTCCATCATCACTGAGCGAATCCTGAATTTTCGTCTGTCTGTACTCTCAGGGAGGCCATGTGCCTTGAGCACCTATTGGGACAAGCTCAACCCAGAACTCAGCTGAAACTCGTACATACGATCCATCGCTAAAGATGTTAGGAAAATGGTCGGTTCTCTGTACCGCTCCAGTAAGTACCTGACTCCACTTGCTATCCTCTACATTTATCAA